TTCCCTTCCCTTCCCTTCCCTTCCCTTCCCTTTTTTATCTCTAAAAAAAGATGATGCTTGTGCTCCAATCTGTGCCAAGACAAAGACTTTACTTCTTTAAATCTTGCCAGTTTTAGAGTCTGAAGGTTGGGGAGAGCTATGGAGAAAACAAGTACAAAAAGTCCCAGGAGCTGTAGGAATTTTGTTATTGTTATTTTCTTTTGTAAGATGAAAGGGATTTTCTGTAACCTGAAACCGCTGGATTTTCTTCTTACTTCAGAAAGTTATTTTATTTTGTTATTGATGTTGTGTAGGAGACAATCAGTCTTTGTGTGAAAGGCCTAACTTCTCAGGCTGCTGAGACCACTTTGGTAAGGCTGTTTTCTGCTCTTCTTTTACAGGAAAAGAAAAAAAACTGTCATATAATTCCACTGAGAAACAGATGAATATTATCAGCTGAATTCAGTTCATTACTCCACATACCCTGTATTCCATGTGCTGGTATTGGAACCATCAAATGCTGACAGGACAAGAGGAAATGGCCTCAAGTGGTGCCATGGGAGGTTTAGATTGAATATCAGAAAAAAATTCTTCACCACAAGGGTTATCCAGCCCTCAAACAGGCTGCCCAGGGTATGAGTCTCCATCCCTGGAGGTATTTAAAAGACATGTAGACATGTGGTTAAGGACATGGTTTAGTGGTGTTAACAGTTTCACGGGTGTTAACTCATGTTTAGTGGGTTAACAGTTGGGCTAATTGATCTTAAAGGTCTTTTCCCACCTAAGTCTATGCTTTTTTGGAAAAAAAAAATCTCTAAAAATGTCATTCTGCTTTGCAATGGGATCATTTCTCTAACCAAGATACTTTTAGGGCACTTGCAGAATCATTTTTTCATGCTATGTCTCTGGAATCATATCCTGGGTACTTCCCATTCAACCTGAACATTCTAGTATTAAAAGCAGGCAGATGTGCTTTTAGTTCAGATTAACACAGATTGGAATGGCTGTTCACCTTGAAAACAGTGAAAGGTATCCCAGTCGTGTAGGAGAGAATGAATCCTCAGTGGAGAATTGGTGCTGTGTTCTGGTTTAGTGTTTACCCAGTTCTGACCTTTCTGATATTTCTGATATTTCTCTGAGATGTCCACTGAGAGAGGAAGGTTGGGGTTTTTGTGTGTGTTACGGAATAAGGACTTTATAATTTAAAATAGTAAAGTTTTCAGAATATACTGCTTATCTCTATGGCCTTTACCTAGCAACTGAATTATTTATGTGTTTTGTTGCAAGTTGTTTCTACCTAACAAGTTGTGTTCCTATGTGTTCTATTACAAGTTGTTTCTCTACTTTTGCAAAATTGCTAAATAAGCTGTGTATCCCCTCCACCTACCTAAGCACCTTGGATGTTTCTAAAATTCTGAATTATCGTGTGTTTATGCTTTTTCCATATCATGTGTATGTTCTTGACAATCAATAAATGTTCCAAGTAATGATGTTGGACTGCACTGGAAGTGCATTTCTGCAGAGGTGGAAAAAGTTGGTGATGTCAGTGGGTCTACAGGAGAATGCTAGCAGCAATGTGTTTGAAAAGACTTCCCTTTGAGTGCAAAGGATTTCTACCACAAGTGCTGATTACTGAAATTAATTTCCCCTGCACAGCACATATGCTGCAAAATTTCACTTGTCTTTTCTGCTTTTCCCTAATGGTTTTCTGTGAAAGCAATGGAAAAATGTAGTTGTGTGATACTCTCACATCTTCCTCTTTTCTGCAGTAAATATTTTAGCAGAATTTAACCATCCTTTCTTATTAAATCTTAGCTTCTTTTCTATATTTCTATTTAAATAGAAGTAATATTTAAAAGTAATATTTAAAAGTAATACTTAATACTTCCATTTAAAGCTGTTTCTGGAGCACATAGAGGTGAAATGCTGAAGGCCTGATCAAGTGCACAAGAAACCTTATTTCTGTGGGGATTTTGCTGTGAATTGGTGGGCTTATATTATTCTCTACAGGACTCAAAAAGCAGTGTCTTCTGTACTGTGACTTCAGTATGTATGAATCCTTCAATTTTGTTAACATCCTCAAGATGCGTGGCACCTCTTCCCTTGAACTGATGGATTCCATTAATCAGTGATATGATATGTACTTAGGGAAGCTTTAAGTGATGGAAAAATTATGACTTCTGCCTCTGATCAAAGCAGAACAAAGCACTTGGCTGCTCCTCTCTCTATTACTGCAGTTTCCTTGCAATCAGGGAGATCTCTGGAGGAGATGGTACCAAGAACTGTAATACCTAGGAAAAGAGAAGGAGCCCTGACTGAGAATAACATCCTTGAGTCTATCTAAAATTTAGGCGGCTTTAGCTGGTCCAGGTTCTTCTGTGTGTAGTAGGAGGTTGTGGTGCTTCCTTACTGCAGTCTGGCAGCTGATGAGCTCAGTTACTTTCCCTGGGATTGCTCATCCAAAAGCAGGATTAAGTCCCGAAGAAGAAATGTGGATGCAAACGTAACAGGCTGGAGTTTCCTCCTAGTTGTAATATGCTAATGGCAGAAATATGTGTTAAAAAAAAAAGCTTGAATTTAAAATGAAAGTGAGGTGATGAACTGTACAGCTGTAAAAGGATTTCCAGTAACTCTGTAATGATAAGGATTCGTGATTAGACTATCAGGAGAAAACTTGTTCCATGTGACTCACAGAGAGGCAGTCCCTGCTTGAGAGCTGGGGCTGTGACTTAGGGAAGCTGTGTATGGTTGGCTGCATTAATGAGACTTTCTTCTCCTCTGAGCACCATGGAAACACTTCTACATAAACACATGGTGCTACTGTCGTCTGCATTTGCAAACCGTGCTGGTGGAAAATGCACGGACACAGTACAAATGGACAGGATCTAGATCATAGCCCAAAACACAAAACACAGACACTCAAAACCCTGCAATGGAGAAAGCGCCAGTCTGACTCACGAACAGACTCCTCTCAGCCATTTAATATACAATGATTTTCTCTCTGCAGAAATGTTATAACCTGCATTTGATTTCTCTACAGAATACCATCCTTTTAATTATGTCAAAATAAAATTCTGATTTGTAATTCAAACCAGTTCATCTAACCTATCTAATTCAAGGAACCTGTACTGAAGAAAAACTGGAGCAATGTAGCAGCAAATTGTTTCTGATAAAAAGGATACATTTCATTTAAATCAAAATAATTTAAACCAGCAAACCAGAAATTTGCGTTTAAATAAATTATTTTACTCTTGATTTGTATTTTAATTTTTTTCCTCCTTGAAGAATACCATGTTTTCACTGGTGTGCAACCCTCTTGCTGTGATTATTACAGCTAAATAAAACCCCTTGCACTGTAACCCATTACACTATACCAGGGCTTATTTCATTTTGCAGGAGGGTATGCAGTATCTGTACAAATCTACATCACTTAGCATGCATTTACTCCCTCAGGCTCTTATTTACTAAGTGGTTTTTTTCTTCTGCCCAGGATTTGCTCTGGACTGGCTTGGGTTGGTGATGGCTTTGCCCTCCCAGGCTTTAAAGCAGGGATGGTCCTTGCCTCTCCCCTGCCCCATCCAGAGCTGGGGACTTGTGTGAGCAGTGGGTGCTTTCTGGGGAAGGCAGGACACAATGCTGGAGAGGCAAGTGCTCCCTGCACTTCCACAGGGCCAGTGGATAATCTCTGGTGACACCACGACCATCCACATTTGGCCCTGCTGCCACATCCTTCTCCCTGTCCGGGCACTCAGCCATGACATCCATCACGTGCATCCTAGGCACTCCTACTTAAATTTCCTTTGGAAAATCCATTTCTTGATGGATTACATCCTGCTGATGTAATGGGCCTGAAATGGTGGCTTGGGCATTTTGTTTCATTTCAAACATAATTTTACACAACTATTCCCAAAGCAGCATCAGCGTTTCGCTTAGTTGCATTTTAACCTCCAAAGCCCGCAGCACTGCCTGACACTTACATTCACAGGCAGGGTCCTTCAGCCTGCCACCGTCCTGGCTGGAGAAACACCCAGAGCATCCCCCAGGGATGAAGGCAGCCCGTCGGGGTGGCTGATGGGGGTGGCAGATGCTGCATCCTGACACACGCCCCGCGAGGAAGCCGTGGGCGGTGAGAGGTGACTTACGAGGCTGAGCAGTCTCCCGGCACCAAGACTTCCCCCTGCACCCTGCCAGGGAGTGTTTCAGCAGCCTGTGACAGCAGCCAGGCACCCATGGCCTGGCACTGAGCCCCCTGCCTCCTCCCTGCCTCAGGGCTGGCCTCGGTGCTGCTGGACCAGGGAAACGACAGGTACCAGGGCAGGGAAGTGGGGCAGGCTGGGCTTCTGCTCGGGGTTTTTGGTGGTGGCAGCAGGCAGGAAGGAGAAGGACGTTATGGAGGGTGCTGTGACTCCTCAGGCTCCTTCCCCTAACCATGTTCCCCTCTCCTCCCAGCCCAGGAGCTACAGGAAGATGATGTGCCTGCCTGCCTCCCCACCAGCGCCGGCGTTGAGGCTGGGGCTCGGGCTCTTCGTGCTGCTCTGCCTTGGTATAGGTAAGCCGGAGCCAGAACGGGAGTGTGGGAAGGGGCTGGGCACCAGCAGCAGCACCCTGTTGTGCTTGATGTGATGGTCAACAGGGGATGGTGGACCTCAGGATACTCCTGGTGCCTTCTGCCAGGGCTGAGCCCAGGGTTTGGGGCAGCTGGCACTTCACTGAGGATCCCTCACCTCTCACTTTCCCAGGCTGCTGGCTCCCAGAGGGACATGGTGATCTCCCATCACAGCCAGGGTGACAGAAATGAGGGTGGTTTTGGCCAGCTGATGTCTGTGAGGAGCACATGGCGCAGCCCCTTGGGCTCCGGCTTCAGTGGCGGGGTGGTTTCTGCAGCTTTTTGGGTGGTTACAAGTGGGTGCCTGGTGGAAAAGATAGGGAAAGGTGGCAGCTCAGAGTGCTCTGCACCTCCTGGGCAGCTCAGCACAGAGCAGAGCGAGTTCTTTCTCCACCAACACAAATCCCTGTTGAAGTCCTGCCTGGGCTGTCCCCTGTCCTTTTCTGAGGACTTGCCACAAAGCTCACACAGATCTCTCCTCGCCTCGAAAGGCTTGGGATGAGTTTTCTCAGATGTGTGAAATGTTAAACTGGAAACCACAAAAAATTCACTTCTGAGCTGGAGTTCATTGTGGATGCAAAATAAGTTGTGCTTGTTGTCAATTTTAGTGTTTTAGTTTTAGCAAGTAATGATACTCTAGAGCAAACCTGGACTGAAGCTTTCCTTAAAAATCAAGCAACGCAAAATGAGGAGCTTTTCATGCTGCTATTGTGAGTGAAACTGGGAGGTATTTGATGCTGGGTTTTATTTTCAGTTTCAGTCTCTGAAATTTAAGATAAAACTTGGAGAATTTAGCAGGGAATGAATTGCCGAGCTCACTTGTTAAAAAGCAGCGACCTCAAATGTGGGATCTCTGCGCTTCTGTCTTCCCCTCACTCCTTCCTCTACTTCTGGGCTTGCAAAGCATTTGTCAAGCACAAATATATTTTGCTTGTATTTGCATCAGGCAAACAATCTATCATGAGCAGAACTGTTTCTCTCTCAGTACTTTAAGAGCTTTTGGTATGTTAATAATGTAATTACGAGCATATGGTAATTCACCAGACGTAATTTCTCTGAAAAGGATTCTGGTTCCTTGGTTAAAGGATGTATAGTTGGATGTATAGTTTGATGCATGCTAATATCCACTGCTAGAAATAGGAGTTTGATAATAGAAAACCAAGTGTTTGTCTAGTTGTACTTTTGGGGCACAATTTTTAGATCCTTCTCAAGCAACAGGTCTCTGGAAGTCACAGTGCCTCAGGAGCAGGTGCTTGGCAGACTGATAAGAGCAGGACAGCAAATGCACTTATTTTCTTCTCTGTATGCACTCACACACACTCTGAACCCTTCCTCTCCAAAGATCAGCATTCCTACATTTCATATAGCTCCTGGAAAATACGTGGTGCAGTATCCACAAAGAACTGAGTTTTAAAAGCTATACTGGTGCTTGTGGGTGATGCCATCTCAAGGTTGCCCACAGGGACCACAGGGACCGAGTTCTGACCTTGTTGTGGCAAAATAATGGAGCCTTGGGTGCCTTCCATGGCCCTGGCATTGACTTCCCATGCAACACTAAATGAGTCACCACAGCCAGCATTTACAGGACTGACCCCACGTGGGGCTGCTCATGATCACACCAAGGCACAGTCGGGGCTGGCTCCCAGAGTGTCCTTGGTTTGGCCCAGGTTTCCTGATGCTGGCACACCTCCCTGATGTTGCACTGCAAAAGGTCAGGTAGCATTCCAGGATGGAAACAAGTGCCCTCTGTAAAGACCCTGTGGATGAAATAGTAACAGAGGGGATGCCAGGCTCAATTTTCACATCAGGCATTAATGGGGGCTTATTTAAAAGAGATTTGAAGGTTGATTTGAAGGTTGTCTTCCATAGGAATTTCATGCATGTGCAAGCTATGTAGATCCATTTCTTTTCCTTTGAATTGAATTTTGTTACTCTGACGTTCACCTGAGGTGCCCCACTGAAATGCCAGTGTCATTTAGAGCTGCTTCTGGGATGTCTTCTGCTGCTGGAGACACTGATGTCCATGAACAACACCCCGTTGTCTCAGCACAAAACGGCACAACAGCCTTGGTTACAGCACAAACTTTTAAAATTATGATCTGAATGCACTGCTGGTATCCCCATGGGCTGGGCTTTGTCCTGCCATTGCACCTTCACATCTACCTATAAATTGGAGGATGTTCTCTGTCCCAGTTTGTTATCCTAGAAAAATATAGCTTGAAATCCCCCAGTATGACCTTTCCCTGCCCTGTGTGCAAACAAAGCACAGGCACTGACTTCAGGGACCCAGCAAGCCCAGCTTTAAGTCCATGGAGTATTTTTAAACTTCCCTGGAGACTTTTCTTCCAGCTGGGGACCACTTAGCTCTTGGTTTCTTCCCGGGGGTGAAATTTTTTGAGAAGTTTTGAAGAAAATTCCCTACAGCCTTTCTAAGTTACTGGAGAGTTGGGAAGGGAGGGGGAATATCCACTTCTGTGAGTGAGCACTGGCTCACAAGTAACTCATTCTGGGAATCCCCTTCCCTGTGTTACTCCCAGAAAAGAGCTCAGAGTGGAGATGGGTTTCAGAAAGGGACAGTGAGGGCTGAGAAAGATTCCCTATTTTGTGTTCACCCCTAAATATTGAAGTGTCTAGCAATGAGCTTCAGGTGTTTGGTGTCTAATTTCCAGATCTGGTATGGGTTGTGCTGGGGCAGATTTCATGGTGGAGATGGCAGAAATTTTTCTTGACATACCAGATTTGCCCACTTGATCACTGGATGCAAATTGAGTTTCTGACTTATTCCTCTTCATGCCTTCAGCTGTTATTTTAATTTCTTTTTTCGGATGAGTTTCTGTGTCCTGTTCCAGACGTGAGGAAAAAAAATGTCTTTCAAAAACAAGGGCAGCAGATCTAAGGAACTCCTTTTTCTGTCTGTCTGTCCAGAGTGAAACCTGCTGTAAGACCTTGTCTGGAGAAACAGAAACCCAGCTAAAACCTACTGCTTTTGGCTTATAGAGACTGTTTTATTTCTTCTGTTGTGTGCCTCTTAAATGAAAGGATTCTTTAGGAAAAAAACCACACAGAAAATTAAACTTAGGAAAAAAAAAACACACAGAAAATTAAACTTAGACAAGCTACATTTTTACACACAATAGCCTAAGTGCTGAGTTTGTAAGGCTGTGGGTCAAATGTTCCTTTCACCCACACCATTTCCTTTTTCCAGTTAGATCGGAATGAACCCAGATAGCTCCAGTGACCTCATGTTGCTCTGATTGCAACATTTTTTTTGCATTTCTTGGATCACTGAGACATTTGTGTCCTGTTTGCCCGTGTGCATGTTGAACATTCCTGCATTTAAACATGCAAAGTTTGGAGTGGCTGCACACCCTGGAGGGGGATGGATGCAGACAGGAGTCACAGTTGAAGGGTACAAAGAGATCATTGCCATCAAAAAATGCAATCCTGCTTCTCTCTGGCTCTGTGATCCTCCTCTTCTTTGCACATATCTGATCCCTGGATGATCTAATTCACCTTCCAGCTTAGCAGAAAGTTTCCTTTTTTCTGTTTTTTTTTTTTTAAGACTGGTATATTGAACCAGACTCTGGAGAGCCCTGCAAGGGGGAACATGTGGGATTGGAAGGGAAAGGGGAACCAGATCCCCTCTGCTTGCATGGGGAAGGCGTGAGCTCAGTGTGAGTTTGCTGTCTGGCTGCATCCCAAGGTCGTGCCAGGCTGGGGGAGAATTTCCACATTCAGAAAAATTCTCATAGAATTACAGAGTTTGTGTTGGGAGGGATCTTAAAGCTTAATTTGTTTTAACCTCCTTGCCGTGGACACTTCCACTGGATCAGGTGGCTCAGAGTCCTTCCCAAACTGGCCCTGAGCACCTTCAGGGCTGGGGCATCCACAGCTTTCCTGGGCAACCTGAGCCAGGGCCTCACCCCCCTCACAATAAATAATTTCTTCCTAATACCTCGTCTAAACCTCCCCCCCTTCAGCTTGAGGCCATTGTCCCTTGTCCTGTTGCTACATGCCCTTGTGAAAAGTCCCACTCCAGCCTTCTTTAAGGCTACTTTTAAACACTGGAAGGTTGCTCTAAGGTCTCTCTGGAACCTTCTCTCCTCCAGGCTGAATGTTCCTCCTTCCTTTCAAGCGTGTTTTCCAGTATAAATGCTGTGCACATGTGGATGTGGTGCCTTCCATAAGTGTGCTGGATGCAGTGAATTCTGTTCACTTGGCAGAAGGAGATCAGTTTTGTTTCAAAATATATTAACTTTCTGTTTAATTGTAGCTGTTCTGTCCCCTTGGAGGGGCATCACCATTGGGAGTCTCGGGAGTTCATTTGAGAATTGATGTGAATCTTTCCCAACTCGGAAATGCCACAGGCTTTGCTTCTGCTTTTTCACTGTTATGCTTTTAAAATATCATTGGTCCCAGGGGACTCCCTGAGTGAAAAGAAAGTGCTGACTGATGGCTCATGGTGGCATTTCTACCTATGCTGTGCTCAAAGGACATCCACATTTTGGCCAGCTCCAATTCCTACCATATCACATGAAAAATGGTTAGAAAAGGGGATTGAAGGAAGTCTCTCTGCACATCATTGCTGTCACCTTAGCAGGTACCCCCTGGTGTTGTTTTAAATGCCCTGCAGACAAGGATTTGATCCCTGTGCCAGGGAAGTGCTTCAGAGAGAGCAGAGCTTGCTGTGTGACCTTGGTTCCTAAACACTGAGAGCCCCTTCCCTGGCTGCCCTGCTCTCAATGCCTGCAGCAGCACCTGCCCAAGCCTCTCCCATCCTGAGTGCTTTCCTGAGTGTCCTCCAGTTAATTCCCAATCTCCATGCCCTGCTCTTTTCTAGGGCTGTGTAATCTCTGCTCCAGCTGTGGGGTGACTGTCGGGGCTGTCTGCAGAGCATCCTTGGGTCAGTGCCTGAGCACAGACCAGCTTTTCTAACAAGATAA